GAGCCGTCAGCACCTGCATCCAGACACCGCCCTCCTGTGGTGGCCGCTTGGCTTCCTCAACTCGAACAAACACGGCAAGCCAAGCCCAATCACCATCATTCCAAAGGCTCTGCTCGAGGGAGAGCTCGTCGACCTTATGGCAAACCAGGAAGGGAAGGCCACTTGGAAGAATGTGCCATCCCGGGCTGCAGGCTAGCTCTTCTGCTCCTTTGGGCAAAGGGCCCAAATCATCAAAGCTCATCATGTTCACGGCGCGGGTCTGGGGAAATGCACCAGGCCTCCGGTCCTCAGCTCGGACGGGCTCTGAAAGAGAAATCGAAGCCACCATTGCGCAAGCGTATTGGGACTTTGTGGTCGCCCTTTCTCAGGGTCGGTCTGCCCTCGTGGGTGCCGAGGGTCCACCCCCACCTTAGCAGCCTCCCAAGGGAGAGGATAACATTCTCAATCGGGGCAATGCACTTTTCCCTGATCGTCACCACCTGGTTGTCGCAAGTGGCCACCTCGAGGTCGAGGATTCGGCTCTGCATTTCCGGAATCCGGTTGCCTTGGGCGTCCTGCATAATAACCCCAGACCGCCGAGTAGAAGTGCCGAGCCCCGCCAGCCGCAAAGGCGTAACAGAAATGTCCGCGCCCGAGTCAATGACAATCTCGCTCTGGGCCTGCACAGCCAGAACCCTGCACAAGTACCCAGTCTTCGGGATTCCCCTCGGCTCCAGCCAGCCCAGGCTCCAGAGTCCATTGGCCGTCGTTGTCGGTCGCATCCATGGGGAAAGTCGGGATCACGTTGGCAATCGGGCCGGCTCCCTCGAAGAACTCCGGCTCGCCCTCGGGGATGGAGGCAAGGTTCACGCACTTGATCATCATCACGTCCGCGCCCGCAAGGTCAAAGCTGTTTGCCCAGTCCTCGTCATCATCCAGCTCGGTCAGGTCGTAGAGCTCGGTAACCCTGCATTCCCGAAAGGTACTGCAGCTAAAGGCCTCGATGCGGTTCACGTTGTACCCTGCCTGGCCCCGAAGCGCAGAAGCCGAGGAAGGGACCGTAGAAGAAGCAGCCGTAGAAGCGGCCGAGCTCGGAGCACCCTG